CCGGCCCTCATGTTAAAATTTAATTGCCAAAGTAACAGTGTTGGGAGGTGGGGCCTTGAAGAGGTGATTATGTAGTTAAGATGATTAACGTGTTTCTCACGAGACTGGGTTAGTTCTCAGGAGAGTGGGTTGTTTTAAAGTGCGTCAGCTTGATTTCTTTTCACACATGCTCGCTTGCTCTTCTGCTTTTCCCCGATGTTATGAAACATGTACAAAAGCCTTCGCTAGAAGCTGCTGCCATGGCCTTGGACTTCCCAGCCTCCAGAAGTGTAAGAAATAAATTTCTTTTCTTTATAAATTACCTACTCTATGGTATTCTGTTATAGTAACAGAAAATGGACTAAGACAGTACTGTTTATGTTCATTATCTCACAGTAATCTTATCTAATAGATACTATTATTATCCCTATCTTATAGATGAAGAAATTGAGGCTGAGAGGTTTAAGTAATTTGCCCAAAGTCATACAGCTAGTAAATGGTGGAGGAGGGGTTCAAACCCAGGCAGTGACACTCATCTAGAGCCTTTTAGCTTCTAACTTGTCTCCGAAAGCAAACCAACAAAACAAGCCTGTAACTCAGGAAGCAACCCACTGGGTAGTCCCGTCTTCCTGTTACTGGAATTACTGACCTTTGAATATTTAAATAAAATCAGATGCAACCTCTTCCATAGCAATTCAACATTTCAGGGGACAATTGGGGGTAGGTGGAACTTGCATTTACTCACCTTTGCATTCAGTCACCTTTGGCTATGATTTCTTTTGTGAGCCCAATTACAGAGCCTCTGCCTAATTCTGACTGTGATCTGATTCTTTTGCTCAACAGTGTTTTACTAAAACAAAGCTTTGGTTGTAGAAGCTTTGAGTAAACATTTGGTTCAATGAAGGGTTATTGCCTCATAGACCAAAAAATAACTTAAAAACTAAATATCAAATATGTATATTTTGAAAATCCCTAGGCCATCCCCTCTCAGGAATTTCTGTCAGTCTTTTTCTTTTCTGCCGGCTCCCAACCTACAAAGTGATGTTCTCACCACTCCTTCTCTCTCCTTCTCTAGAACTCTCCTGTTTTTCTAGGAAGCACAATGTAAATCTCTCTCTCTCTCTCTCTGTTTTTTTTTTTTTTTTTTTTTTTTGGCAGCTGGCGGTACAGGGATCAAACCTTGGACCTTGGTGTTATCAGCACCATGCTCTAACCAACTGCACTAACCAGCCAGCCCTCAACAGCTCTTTAAAGGTTTTTTCTCTGCCACTACACATCTGTCCATGTCGGAGCAGTAGGACGACTTACATTGACGTCCTACATTTTATAGTTTGCTCCTACATTGGGCGTGATTGTTTTGTTTTGTTTTAATTCTATTCTATTTCTTTTTATACTTTTGGGCATACTTGTTTTCTTGATCCAAGTTTGTCAGTTTGGGGGTGGGTTGTATATGATTATCAATATTAATAATCAATCAGGCATTTTGCTTTTATCAGCATTGTTGAAGATCCAGCTTCACGTGGAAGAGACCCCTTCCGCAAACCCCACTCCCTGACCTGGAGAAGTGTGCCCTGCGGTGCCCTCCAGCCATGAGACCCTCTGAAACTGCGAATGCTCCCTTTCTGCATTGTCATTTGGCTCATGAAGACACACGGCTGGGAGAGGTGGAGGGTGCTCGCCCACCTTTTAGTCGGCCACTGTTTGGAGGCATAGATGGGCAGGCCTGGTGCCAGGAGGTGGGGAAGCACATGAGCGGACACAGCCCTGCCCCAGGAATCCCAAGGTAGCCAGTGGAGCAGAGGGGATGCACACCCACATAACTGCAGTGCACACAATGGCAGAGCACCGAGACACGGGATGACAGAAGATCCTCTGAGCTTATGCAAACAATGTAGTGACCAGTTACCAACCATAGTCCCTACACATTTCCTGTTGAGCCTGTGGAGGGTGATAAAGAAATCTGGGCACACTAAAATCTCTTAAACAAAGACAGTGTAGGATGGTATGAGGCAAGAGAATAAAAATGCCCACACGAGCTTCCCCAGCTGCCTATCTGGCCTTGTCTCCTGTCACTCCAGTTCCAGCCATGCTCACCTCTTGTCCTTCCAATGACCCAAGCACACTTGTCTCAGGGCCATTGCATTGCCTGGTGCATATGTCCAATTCCTAGATGCACTGTTCACTCCGCTCTCATCCCAGGTGGGTAATGCTGGTGCTCTCATTCCATGGTCTCCTCTCACATGCACCTCTCCCTGGGCACTCCCCATCATTCTCCTTCTCTCTACCTTGCTTTACTTTCCTTTGTGACGTGTGTCACCCAACAATATTTACTTCTATGTTTGTTTATTATCTGTTTCCTACTGAACATAGTGCAAAGTCTAAGAGGGAAAGAAAGGACTTTGATTTGTTCATGGCTGCATGTACTGTGCCTAGTATAGCAGCTGGCATATTAATAAAATTAATAATATGTTGACTGAATAAATGAACAAACACACCGTCTGTCAGAAAGAATATATTTTTTGAAAATGCAACCAAATGAATGCCTTAAAACTAGACTCTTGGTGTTGTCAGCACCACGCTCACCCAGTGAGCACACCGGCCATCCCTATATGGGATCCGAACCCGTGGCCTTGGTGTTATCAGCACCGCACTCTACCGAGTGAGCCACGGGCCGGCCCAGAAAGAATATATTTTTTGAAAATGCAACCAAATGAATGCCTTAAAACTAGACTATCATCATGCCGGCCCGGTGGCAAAATTAATAATATGTTGACTGAATAAATGAACAAACACACCGTCTGTCAGAAAGAATATATATATATATATATATATAAAAATTAATAATATGTTGACTGAATAAATGAACAAACACACCGTCTGTCAGAAAGAATATATTTTTTGAAAATGCAACCAAATGAATGCCTTAAAACTAGACTATCATCATGCCGGCCCGGTGGTGCAATGGAGAGCGCACCGATTGGGAGCGCGGCGGCGCTCCCGGTGAGGGTTCGTATCCCATGTGGAGACCGGTTCCTGCTCACTGGCTGAGCGCGGTGCGGGCGCAATACCGAGGGTTGTGATCCCGTTGCCGGTCAGTAAAAAAAAAAGACAAAAAAAAGACAAAAAAAAAAAAAAAACTAGACTATCATCACAATTATTTTTCCGATCTTACATATTTAAATTGGTTTAAATCTAGAATAAGATTTTATGAGAATAAAGTATTAAGGATATGAGACCTAGACAATTGGTTAATCGGTTGATCTGCACTCAATTTCTTTCTTGGTACCAAGTAAATTTCCTGTAAGTCATAAAATGAGGTCATAAAGGAGTTTAAGTATGATATCAGTTGTGTGTATTAAGCTCTAATTTCTGATTAGAAGCCAGGAAACATTATTACTGCAGAACCAGTTGGTCCTAGCCAGCACAAAAGGAAGGAGAGATTGGGTAAAATAAACAGTTTATTCAGATAAAATCAGAGCATCTGACAGCCAAATTGGTCAAATTATCTAGGTAATTGCCAAGTCTCTATTTCATGCTGTGTTGACTAGAGACAATTGAACTGTCAAAGGCTTCATTTATTTAAACAATGAGAGGATGGCATAGAATGTTTGTCCAAATTAACTATGAATTTTGTTGTAAGCCTGTTTTTTCATTTCTACAGAAGGGCCTGATGATACCTTGACTGGTTCGTCACACTTGGGCTGAATATACAGGTGCAAAAGGACCATATGGGCTGTAGGGGGCTGGATAAGGGCCCCAAGGATGCCCAGGTCCTGGTTCCCGGAACCTGTGAATGTTAATTTACATCGCAAAAGAGGCTTTACGGCTGTGATTAAGTTGAGGATATTGAGAAGAGAGATTATCCTGGATTGTCTGGATGGTCCCTAAATGTAATCACAAGGGTCCTTGTAGGAGGGAGCCAGAGGGAGATTTGGCTACAAAAGAGGAGAAAATGATGTGATAATGGAAGCAGAGACTGGAAGATGAAGGAAAGAGCCACAGCCAAGGGATGGGGACATCGCCAGAAGCTAGAAAAGGCAAGGAAACTGGTTCTCCTCTCAGAGCCTCCAGAAAAAACAGCCCTGCTAACACCTTGATTTTGGCTCAGTGAAACTGATTTCAGATTTCTGACCTGGAGAAGTGGAAGAGAATACATTTAGTGTTGTTTTAAGCCTCTCAATTTGTGACAATATGTTACAGTGTAGCAGTAGAAATCTAATACATGTGCCTTCTGGGAATTCTTGCCTTCTGCGGGGTGGGAAACAGAACATCTGAGTTAGAAGTGAGCTTCCTAGCTGTGACACGGGGCACATGGACTGCTGCTCTAGCCTTGTCTTCTAGAAAGCAGGACTTGAGGCAAAAGTTAGGACGTTAACACTTTACTTAGGGGTGCAAGCCTGGGGCCTCGAGGGTGAGAGAAAAAAGGGAAGAGAAAAGAAAGAAGATGCCTAGATTTGCTCTGGGACATGTTACTGCCCTGGCCACTACTTTGCAATGACCTGTGAAGTGACACAGCAGGTTTGCCCGACAGGCACATCCACTCATGTGGAGAGTTGCAAAGATGAACGATACCTCAGATACCTCAGAGAAGTCCACGGAGAGAGAAAGGAGGGAAAATGCACCTGTTTGGTTCTTTCCTGTTTCCTTTTTTTTTGGTGGCTGGCCAGTGCAGGGATCAAACCTTGGACCTTGGTGTTATCAGTACCACACTCTAACCAACTGAGCTAACCGGCCAGTCCCTGTTTCCTATTTGCAATTGGTCAAGTGTGTGAGGACAGACCTAAGGTAAAATAGTCTCCAAACTGTGAATAAACTTTGAGACAAAAAACAAAGCAAGCAGCTCCGTAAATTATTACCAAAAGTTTACTGATGGGTAACTTACGGGAAGGATGAGGCAGATATTGATCCAGGCATTTGCGCAGCTGCTTTTCCTCAATTCTGGTGGGAGGGGAACAATGAGGCTTTAAGGGGCTTAGAGACAAAGGTGGAACTATGCCAAAGAGAGGACTCTGTTGAATTGGATGGTTCTCAGATGCCTTGCAGCCACCTGTTGTTTATCCTAGGGGCTGCTTGCATCACCTGGAGTGATTAGTCCCTTATCTTAGGCAAACATAGAATTCCATTTCTTTCCCTGCCTCTGGTTGCTAAGTAACCTGTGCAGGGAAAGACTAAAATTCACACAAAGGCTTTATAGGCTGTGAAGATGGAGTAAGGTCTGACCAGCATCCCCATAGTCAAGGTTCACCTATGGGCAGTTAATGCCCCAGAGCGTCTCATTTATTCCATGCAGCCCTTCCTTAGAGGCTGCCCAGGAAATCATATCCCAAGCCTCATGTTATGTTGTTTCATCTATGTTAAAAAATAAAGTTCAAGTTCACATGGTGATTGGGTGAGAATCCAAGAGAGTGAGCAGTAGCTGCAGGCCACCTGAGGCGGGGACTCAGAAGCCACACAACGCACTTTCAGCACGTTCCATTGGTCAAAACAAGTCACAGGCCAGTCCAGTTCCGGCAGGTGAGGATATAGACTCCATCTCTTGACAGAAGCTGAAAGGCACTTTGCAAAGGGGCCTGGATACCGAGGGGGGAAGGATTGGGGCAGTTTTTACAAACAATCTAGCAAGGACTTAGCACAGACAAAGGAGTGGGAGGTGGCCAAAGTGGAAAGAGCTCAGAGTGCAAAGACTGGGAGGTACTGTCACCAAAACCCCAAAGGTCCGTTTGCTTGTCGATCAAAAGCCAATAATTGAGAGACAAGTGTTGCATAAGAAAAAGTAGCCCTAGTCAGGTAACCAGCAGCCTGGGGAAGTGGTAGACTTATGTCTCAAAGACCATCTCCACCTCTCCCAGGTTTGCCAAACAGTTCTATAGGGATCTGTGGTGGAAAGTTGATTCATGATGACCCAGCAGGGATGTACAGACATACTTGAGTGTTTCAGATAATCATCAAGGAATTTCCCGGGTGGGAGGTGACCAGCCTCAGACTTCACTCTCCATGGGCTCAGCTCCTGTTATTCTCAGATAAGATCAGGTTAGTAAGCTAGTAAAGAATGGCCATCTGGGTTAATAATTTTTCTCTAATTATTTGTGTATAATGTAACAGCAAGAGTTATTGTGTTCTGGCAATTAGCTGCAGACTATGTTTGGGTTACAGGAGAGAACAAGTTTTTAAACTCAAAGGTTTAACAAAATGGAGTCACTTCTGTTGGGGTTGTTACAACAAAGGATGATAAATGATCATCAGGGTCTCAATAAATCCATCTCCTGAGCTTCAGTTTCCCTGCCTGGAAAATGGGGGTAATAATTCCATTCTCCCATGGGTTATTACAAGGATTAAACAAAATAAAGTATATGACACACATAGCACACAGACATTAATATACATATCATTCCCAAGAATTAATTGCTGAAATCTATTTTATTAATATTTATTATTTATTTTTTTTTGGTGGCTGGCACAGGGATTGAACCCTGGATCTTGGTGGTGTCAGTACCACACTCTAATCAACTGAGCTAACCAGCCAGCTTGTCTTTTTTTTTTTTTTTTAAAAAAAAAGATGACCGGTAAGGGGATCTTAACCCTTGACTTGGTGTTGTCAGCACCACGCTCAGCCAGTGAGCCAACCGGCCATCCCTATGTGGGATCTGAACCCGGGGCCTTGGTGTTATCAGCACCACACTCTCCCGAGTGAGCCACGGGCCGGTCCAAACCAGCCAGCTTGAAATACATTTTAAACTGAGAATGTACCATTTTACAGTTAATAACAATATGACTAGCCATATCAGTTAACTGAATTTTTGACAATCAGGCCTGATTAGTTCAGAAGTTAGAAAAACTGGACCCTTACCAAGTTGATTTCTGAAGTATCTAACAAAGGCAACACATAAGAAAGAAATGCATAAGCTCATCAAAGCCAACTTCTAAAATCCTCCTTGAGGTAACAATTTGCTCGGTGTAGTGTTTGTATTCTTATAAGCCAGCCTTTAAAATTGTATGGTCTCACTAAAGTTTTCTGGTAATTCCCTGGAAAACTTTAAACTAATAGCCTCTTTAGATGAATTCCTCTGTAGTTTTTGCATTTTACTGCCTTTGCTTTACTGCTCTAACTGCTTACGTTAAGGTCACCTCCCAGTTAATAGTGCCTTATGACGCAGTTGACAGTACAAAGTAGTTATTTGGTCTCAGGACGTTTTCAGCTTGGAAGAATTATTCTCAACTTGTTTTCTTCAGTCATCCAGAACGTTTTCTCAGGGAATGTTAATTCCATTTAGCTGCTCTCCTTGAGTCTTACTGTTTTCTCCTGACTCTTCTGAGTTTTTTTGGAGATGAGAAGTTTTATTAGAAGATAGTGTTTAAGGTCAGAGAATAAACAGGTACAGAGTAAGGATGAGCCTGAAGGAGTTGAGGGGAAGGAAGCCCTTTGGCAAAATTCTAGATTGTTCATCAAACAACAAATATTATTGAGCCTCTATTATGTACAAAATACTGTGCACACTGATAGAGTTTAGAAGTGTTGTCTCCCCCAAACTCATGTGTAAATCTGATCCCCAGTGTGGAAGTGTTGAGAGCGGTTTGGGTCATAGAGGTGGATTTCTCATGAATGGATTCATGCTTGCTCTGGGGGGCGGGGAGAGGTTCATGAGTGAGATCTCCCTCAGTTAGTTCCCAGGAGAACTGGTTGTTTAAAAGGAGCCTGGCAAGGTCTGGCCCGTAGCTCACTTGGGAGAGCGTGGTGCTGACAACACCAAGTCAAGGGTTAAGATCCCCTTACTGGTCATCTTTTAAAAAATAAACAAATAAATAANGCAGCTGTCCCAGAATCGTAAGCCAAATAAACCTCTGTTCTTTATAAATTACCCAGTCTCAGGTATTCTGTTATAGCAACACAAAAATGGATTAATACATCTCACTGATGTTAAAGAGAAGCATAAAGACATGATAACACTAAATATGGGAGATGAGATATAAACTTATATAAAGTTACATACATAAGAGATGAGAGCTGGCTGGTTAGTTCAGTTGGCTAGAGTGTGTTACTGAAAACACCAAGGTCCAGGGTTTGATCCCTGTACCAGCCAGCCACCAAAAAATTTAAAAAAAAAAAAAAAATACGCACACACATATAATATATATGAGATGTACTAAGATAGGTTGATGGCTGATGATATTAATTGATGAGGTAATAGCATCAACAAAACCTTTGATGGAGTCAGATTCATTCACTCATAACACTTGGTCCTAGGCTTCTGGGCCCAAGGTTTCTTGGTGAACAAAGCATTTGGTGAGGCCTTCTAGAGGTTGGGAGGTTTGACTGGGCCTGGAATTCTAACTTAAAAGAGAAAGGAGGAAAGTGACAGTGTGAAAGATCCAAAATGGATTTATGAGACTGTGAGTAAATCATTTGAATTATTTCTTCCAAATGGATCAGCCGGACCTGGATCCTTTTAAAAGCCAGAATGAAAGGAAATTGTTAAGAGGTTTAATTTTTAACAGAGCAGCTCCAAGTTCTCCAAAATAAGATCAGTTGCTTTTACTTTTTGGTTGGAAAAGTTCTCTGTTGTGCTGGAACCTGGTATGACATGAAGGATAAAGGTCTGGGATGATTATAACAGCAAGGTCAAGGGTTTGGATCCCCTGTCCTGGCCAGCTGCCAAAAACAACAACAAACAAAACAAAACAAAAACAAAAAAATCCCCAACCAAACAAACAAACAATAGGTCTGGGATGAGCTTGTGAAAAGCCGGGAGCGAGGTGGGAACTGACACACCTGTTTGGACCCAGCCCCTCAGCAGCTCTGCAGACCAGCAACCATGGGCCTGCGCCAGCCACAGGTCACACTCCCACACCCTGGGTTCTATCTGTGGGAGTAAGTGGCCCTGCTGAGCTGGGGTGGCTTTTCCTATTGCAACAAGGACATGAGGAGCTTCAGGGTTCTTGAGGGGTGGGAGACCTATGTGAATAGACCTCGTCCCCCACATCACTGTGCCTTGATGATTCAGTCCCTGGGGCTCAGTAGGACCCATCTTGGCTTTGAGAAGGCTGATGCAGAGAGGTCTGGGACAGCATTTATGTTCAGAGAGTCCAACATCTTAGGAGAAAAGGAAACTTAGAGGCTACCCAGGCTCACATCTTTACTAAATGGTCAGACACAGGGTCACCCAGCTTGTAGTGACAGATCTGGCCCTCATCTCTACCATGCATCCTTGTCTTTTGTGGAAATGTGGTGTTGTTCAACTTCTAACCTAGTGTGCACCATGAACTGTCCTGGGTAATCTCATCTTCCGTGCATCTCTGATGCTATAACTGGCCTATTTCTGTCTCTAGATCATCCTGCTATCCTCCTTTCGTCCTTCACTTCTTTCTCAGAAGAAAAGGGAATATCCTGCATTCCCTAGTTTATCTTATTTGTCCTGTTTTAGTCAGTTCAGATGCTATAACAAATTACTATAAACTGGGTGGCTTAAAAAACAAACATTTATTTCTCACAGTTCAGGAGGCTGAAGTCCACGATCAAGGCGCTGCAGGTTCGGTGTCTGGCGAGGGCTCGTGCTCTTCTTCTGAGATGGCTCCCTTCTGTTTCATCATCCGCAGGGAAGGAGCTCTGTGCCTTCACATGGTGGAAGAGACGGAAGGGCAGAAAGGACTAGGTAGGGCACTCCGTTAACCTCTTTCATAGGAGCACTAATCCCATTTGTGAGGACTCACGACTCAATTGCTTCCCAAAGGTCCCCATG